CGATATCTAGTGGGAATGCGATGGAACTAATTGGCTAGTAGCCTCAACATGGTACCGTAGATGACGCCATGTCTGAGCGCTTTGTCTAATATCTCCTTATTCGTCATGTTATCCGCGTATAAAAGAGACTCTGAACTTACCAAGAACCGTATGAAATAGTATTTTTAAAGTAAGTAGCACGTAACTTCTTATTGCTGTCCTTGTCTTACACATTATAAGTATAGGGGGAAACAATCCGCGCAAACAAAAATCACTTATAACTCATTAATTAGAGATCGAATGTGGCAAAAAGAGAAACTAAAATATTACTAAGGATCACCTTCAGTTTCTTTCATTACAAAAGTTCACGAATTATGTCTGTAAGTTCAAAAAATTAATGATTTTCCTGAGCACTCGTTGAAAAATGTTAAGTTCTCTTAGGACATCGTTTCGAAGGAATCATTGATAAATGATTAACGAGGTATGAAAGTATGGGAAGGTCCACTCGACGATGACCAATTGCAATTGTTAAGGAATCATTCGTGAGAGTCAAGTTATTAATGAATGCTGTAAGAAATCGTGGCCCTTTTTAAGATCTGAAGTTTCTATTTCTGCAATTCATCGATGGAATTAAATTTCCATCCACCTCCCAGGGTCTCCTCGCAACAACCTCCACGTGGTGGACCTGGAAACTAGAACCATCGCCGACAGAGTAGTTCCTGTCGAGGATCGTGCTAGGCCAATGGCTGCGAATTGTGTAAAATATGCTGAGTAGTTATTCTTTAGCTTCATTCTCTGATTTCGCCTGTCTCCATTTATCCGGTTCACTTGACCATGTTCGCAAGTGCATCGGGCCGTGTGACGCCAGTCAGTTCTGCAGTTCACGTATCTCGGTGTTCGGACTCGCGACTAAGGTCAAGACGGTCACACCGTGGGCCGGGACTCACGGCACTGCTTTTCATGGGATCCTACTTCTTCGTAAACCGCCCCTAGTTCTGGGGTTCTACCTCAGGGTCGGACGTTGGGAAGTTCATGGGCGCCTACGAAGAGCACGTGTTCGTCCGCTGATCCGAAAGAGGAAGAGCACAGTAAATCGGGACTGTGGTTCTGACTGGTTGATCGCGGTTTGCTCGCGTCACCCTCCTTTTTAATCAGAGACTTCTTCTCTGATTTCTCTCATTGTCGAATCCAGGACTTCCTCCTCAATTCTCTCCCTCTGCTTCTAGACCCGATAATTGCTCGACATATATGCCACCGATATACAGATTTAAAGCTAAACTAAGTTAGAATTAAGCATGCGAAAGAAGACGTCGATCGTCCGCCGTGGGATACTTCATCGTTTCGTCGTGGGAGTATCATAATATTAAATGCGGTAGATATAAGTGCGTTAAAGATAAGATTTAGAATTAGAACGGGAGGTCGGTGGAATTGAGTTTCCACCCACCTCCCAGGGTCTCCGCTCGCAGCAACCTCCACGTGGTGAGATCTGGGCAACTAACGTTCTCCTGAGTAGAATGCTTCCTGTGAAGGATTATGTTAGGCTAATTGGCTGGGATCATTTTGTAATTTAAATGTGAAATACGCAATCATCGGCAAGGAAAGTATGAAGACAAAATCTCTGTTTTCTTCATGGATCATGGAGGGAGTTGTTCAGCTTGTGTAATTCATAATATATTTACTATTCCGGTACATAATTAAAATAAACGGAGATTCGTTAACTTTTCAAGCTTGAATGCTAGGAGAATAGTTAGACGGTATATTCACGTCGAAAAGTATGCAGCTTATAGATTAGTAATTAAAAAACCAGAAATTTCATGGAAAATAATTTTCAAAACTAATACGAGACAACGCTCTGGTTACTCTAGATGCAGAAATTAATTGTTGGAAGGAGGATTAGAACTTTGTCGATTATATGATTCAAGTAAACTGAGTTCATTCGTGGTATTCCTATTGTATTATTCTTTAAAATTGCGAATTCTGCTTTATATTCTGATGAATGTCTATAAGAAATTTCGAGCATACAACAAAATGTAGTGGTAAGGAAATAAAATGAAAAAGAACACTCTTTTTATTTATTTGTATTTATTTGCACAAACCCGTAACATAATCATTACATCTGTAAAGGACAGTTGCCGAATGATTAACCCTTTGCACTCGAAAGGCGACTCCCAGTCGCCAGATGATTTGATAAAGCAACATTGTAAACTTTGGTATTTACCATTACCCTCTATGCTGCATCGATACGTGAAATATTGAAAGAAAATAGCTTAATTCCCTAATTCATATGTGATTTCTTAATAAATTCATTTCAAAAGATTTCGTCTACATGTAATTAGAACGTATTGCATATTACAACTGAGAATCTCTCGATTGCAGTTAATGTAACATAAAATACTCTGACCCGTCGAACGTCGAAGCTATAGATAAGCTATAGGAAGCAAAGCAAAGGCATATAAATGCATGTGTAAAGACGGCTGCAGCTCGTCAGGGGCAACAGTTTGGTTGAGGGCGATAGCAGCGCCATCTAGCGGTGGGTAATTTTCGAAGCTTTTCCCTATACCCGCAATGTGTAAGACAAGGACAGAGATAGTGTGCGACAAGGAGAAAGCGAGCGCTCCCAGTGCCACCTACTTGGAAAAAGCATCTCATCAGTCCCTGGTACCTACTCGTGAAGCAGAATGATCAAAGAGGTGTCCGACAAGGATAAATACATAATTTGGCGGGAGAAAGACAAGGACGCATGGTGGCCTTCCCGCGGAGCTGCGCAATCCATGCAGAATTCATTAATATCGCGACTCCCACGAATTATTCATTAACTTTTGCGATTAGAGATCGTAGAACAGACATTTTTGTACTTTCTCTAATCGCATTTGGTAGGATTTTGCTTCGCGTTGATTAGTTATTAATTATTTTTTAAATCGCTGCCTCGAGGCGAACTGGAATCTTTGGGCAGCTGCCGAGTAGATAATTAATTTTCATGGTTAGTAGATATAATTGGTGAACTTTTACAATCGAAGAAATTGGAATGGATATTTAGCAATATTTCAATGTTGGTTTTAGTTATATCTGGGTTGTATTTAATTAATTATTAGCGATTTTCGGATAGACGCAATAAACCCATCCAAAAATCGCTAATAACTAATTAATTACAACCCAGACGTAACTAAAGCCAATATTTCAAAATTGCTAAACATCCATTCTAATTTCGGCGATTGTAAAACTTTACCAATTATATCTATTAACCATGAAATTAATTATTTCCTCAGTCCTTGTCAAAAAATTCTAGATTATCTGGGGACATCGAGTTGGAAAATAATTAATAACTAATTAATTACAACTCAAACGTGACTGAAACCAATATTGGAAAATTTTTCAACATCCATTCCAAATTCTTCGATTGTAAAAGTTCACCAATTATACCCATTAACAATGAAAATTAATTATTTCCTCAGTCCCTGTCAAAAAATTCCAGATTACGTCGGGACATCGATTTTAAAAATAATTAATAACTAATCAACGCGAAGCAAAATCCTGTCAAAAGTGATCAGAGAAAATCTAGGAATGTCCATCCTACAATCTCCAATCGCAAATGTTAACGAATCATTCGTGGGAGTCGAGATATTAATGAATTCTGCATCGATTGCGCAGCTCCGTGTGAATGCCATCTTGCGTCCTTGTCTCTCTCCCGCCCAATCATATATCTATCCTTGTCAGATACCTCTTTAGTCATCCTGCTTCGCGAATACGTACCAGGGACTGATGAGATGCTTTTTCCTAGTAGGTGGCACTGGGATCGCTATCTCTGTCCTTGTCGCAGACTATCTCCGTCCTTGTCTTACACATTGCGGGTGTAGGGAAAAGTTTCGAAAACGCACCGCCGCTAGATGGCGCCACTATCGCTTGCAAACCTAAATTTTTTATCCTTGTCGCACCCTAGCGTCATCCTTGTCTTACGCATTGCGGATCTAGGGGAAGTAATTCGCCGCTAGATGGCGAGTCGATCGTGTTCCACCAAAATTCTCTGTCGTTGTCTTATTCATTGATGGTATAGCGACACCTTTAACGGCCGTTGTCACGACAGCGTGATGTCATTGTTTAAGAATCAAACTGAATTGTCCTTACTGACCATTAACATTTGAGACAGAAAAACGTAATTACTAGCTATATATCATGTATGCGCGATTTACAGCCTCTAATTACTTGGATCTAGCATTATCTTAAGTACTTAAATAAGTACCCGTAATTTCACACTTTAAGAGATACCATAATCATTGCTGCAACTTCGTCATTTTCTGCTTTCATATCTTCATGGTTTAGTTAGTGTTTTTAATGTTTTTAGGGTAATTGACATTAATTGTACAATAAAGATAAATGAAATATATACTTGTTATTGTTCTACTTTTAAAATATAATATTTAAAGGCGGGGGAAATAGAAATAATTTCAAAGCACATAGAGTAAAGCGATATTTATTCGTATAAATAACATGGTTACAATAAGTGTGAAAAATAATTATAATACATCTCTATATAGATTCTTATGAACTGATTATTAATTTCTATTTATAAAGTAATTATTCAGAATGAAGAAAATGTTATTAAGTACTATAATAAAAGGAGTAATAAAATTGCTTTCCAATTAGTTATAAAAGATATTCCAATTGTATTATTCTTTTTGTCAATATTTTTTAATTAGTTATAAAACATATTCCACTGTCCAGATTGTTCTCGGATCGATTCAACGATCCTTCAGAGGTTCGCCCACGCGCCAACCGGGTAACCGACATATCAGCAGCCTCACAGGTGTCCGAGGTCGCAATTTTCTGGATGGTTAACCGATTACGAAGGCGTTTGCAGTAGTTTCCCTCAGTATATGGGCAGACTCGATTTCATTCTCGATAATTTTCACGTATCGGAGCACGGGGTCCCATGTGGTCGCCGCTGATAAGCAGTGAATTGAACTTCTATCAAATTGCGAGAGATCTCAGCGAGTATAAAAGCTCGATTCCTTGGGGCTAGGAGCATCAGCAGCTCTCCGGAGCTCCAAGGAGTAACACGCATCCTCCAAGCGTTGAAGTCTCTCACAACGGTGAAACTGTCCTACGAAAAAACCAACTACATCAGTGGGGACGGCAGATAAGTAAGTAAAAAATCAAGGAACAATTCATAAGACATAGAAATATCAAAGGGAAAATTATAACAATCATACAGAATACTCGAACACATTGTTTCTTAGAAAGATATTCGTATAAAGTATTTACTATCTATAACTCCTCAAGCCAAGATTCTTAAAAGACTCAAGAAACTATTTTCTAATGTTTCAAATATTGTCCACGCATTTAAAGGCATAGAAATATCAAAGGAAAAATTATAACAATCATACAGATTACTTTAACACATTGTTGTTGGAAAGATGTTCATATAAAGTATTCAATATCTATAACTCCACACATCAAGCTTCTTAAGACTCAAGAAACTGTTTTCTAATGTTTCAAATATTATCCATGCATTTGAAGACATAAAAGTATCAAAGGAAAAATTATAACAATCATACAAAATACTCTAACACATTGTTCCTTGGAAAGATATTCATATAAAGTATTCAATATTTATAACTTCTAAAGCCAAGATATTTAAAAGACTCAAGAAACTGTTTCTTAATGTTTCAAATATTGTCCATGCATTTAAAGAATATTCTATATGAATATGGACAAAGTTCTTAGTATCTAACTTCCCATTTTATATCCAGGATGCGGCGCACGAGACACGTCGCGCTGCCAGTAAAGGCTTGGGAGTATATCGGTCTTCTGATAGTCTCCCTAGCTTGTCTAACTTTAGGGTTGATCTCCAGAGACAAGGAAGGCCATGCTGGAAGCCTGGCAGGACCGGAACTGAAACACCAAGCTCCTCATGAGTAAGACACTATCAACAATGATCAATGTTTCTAATTGTACTTCAAAAAGCATAAAGAAACAACGTAAAATAATACTTACAAGCAGCATTGCAATCAATCTTGCAAACATAGTCACTTATTTCTTCAAATCATTCATAGATTCTCTATTCTCTTGAAATTAATCTGAAAATAACAAATGATAAGTATTTGCATTACTGAATATTGGATTAGCAAGTAATACATCCTAACAACTATCTTTTAATAGATATAATAATATAGACACGTTTTAAATAATAACTCTATTACAAAATTACACTTCACTGCATTTGTACTGTTACAATATGAAGTCATTTGTAGATATTATAGTATGAACATTAATTTTTTATTACAAACTTTGCCACATCTCCTAGCAATAGCCCATGACTGTGCAGACTTCCTTTTACATAACAACTCATCCACTAATCAACTTTCTAATCAGAATCTCCATTTTAGGGTCGACGCCTGTCCAAACTTGAACCCCTTCACCACGGTGCCTTCCTACTCCACCCTCGACGATCAGACCACAGCGCCAAGGATATCGGTAGAGACTGCAGCGAGCAGAGTTAGTCTTCTACCGGATACTCCGAGGTCTTCCCGATCAAGGAGCTTAGATCGCAGTTCCCAGTCGCGACTACGATCAAGAATAGACTCCAGGATCGCGAGTAGACTGATCGATCGAGAAGCAACCGATTCCAGGCTCGGGACCAGAAGTCAAGAATCCATGCGACGTTCAACCGATTCCAACCGACTTTCTAGATCCTCGAACCTGGCTCGTTCCACCGCTCGATCTCTGGACCGCAGATCTCGCAGCGCCGAACGAAGATCGGTTGTCGACCAACGAGAAAACCGAGAGGCTCTTGCGCGCAGGATTTCGGAACGGGAACGTTCGAACGATCGACTCGATGCTAGAGATCGTAGATCCGACTCCAGGGAACGACGAAGACTTCAAGAACGCAGGACTCGATCGTTGGATCGCCGGGAACTGGATTTCGAACGTCGAGTTAATCTGAAACGAGAGGTCATTCGCGAAGATCGGCGAAGGAACTTGGTAAATCGCGCGGACAGACGCAACGAAGACCGTAGATCATCTGCTCGATCGCTGAGGAATGTGTATCAAGTTCGATCGGCTTCCGAAGAAGATCGCCGAGATGTTCGATCGATTTTGGACGAAAGACGAAATCCTGCTGCTTCGAGAGACGAGGATAGACGATCTGCTCGAAGGATCGACGTTTCTAAGTCTTCCGACTCTCGGTCTCGCGCTTTGGACAGGACTACGAGAAACTCCCGCATCGATAAACAATATTCTCGATCACTGGATCACCAGAGCTCGCACATGGAAAATGATGATTCTAGTAGAAGGCTGCTGAAAAGATCGATAAGCTTGGAAGAACGTCGTGAAAGGAATGCGCTGGATTCTCGAGAACGACTCGACCGCAGATCTACCGATTCTCGACGCGAAAGGATTGACCGTTCTCTGAGGACCACTGGCTCTTGCAACCGTTTGCAGTCATCGACGAGACGATTGGATTCTAGATTGGATACTGATCGCAACTCTGTGAGATCGGAGAGACGAGAAGGAAGTGAACGAAGGGAGAGGATCGGTAGATTGGATCGTAGAGTGGATTCTAGATCAGATGACAGGCGAGAATCTTCTATGGCAAGGTCATTGGAACAATCTAGGATGGATAACTTGGAACGTAGAGAGAGGATGAACCGATTTTCCAGAGCACGTTTGGCTAGGTCTTCTGAAAACGTTAAGCGTGACTTGGATCGACGTGTTAGGAATCTATCGGCTGATCGACGATCTGAACGCAGAGAAATTGTTGCTTCGAGGACCCTTCGACAAGATATTAGGACTGACCGATCTAGGATAAACGGTTTGGAACGCCGAGAAGAACCCAGACGATTGATGCTAGCACGACAACCAAGGATTGATTCATCGAGGACACCTGAAGCTACTAGACGTGATTCAGAGCGACGTGTTAGGGATCTATCCGCTGATCGACGATCTGATCGCAAGGTAACTGTGGAATCCAGGGCTCTTGAACGTCAAAATCGCGATGAAATTAGGACTGATAGATCTAGGATAAACAATTTGGAACGCCGAGAAGAACCCAGACGATCGACAGTAGCCCGCCAAGCAAGGATTGACATCTCTAGAACACCTGAAGCTTCTAAACGTGATTTGGAACGACGTGTTAGGGATCTATCCAGTGACCGACGAACTGAACGCAGAGAAATTGTTGATTCCAGGGCTCTTGAACGTGAAAATCGCCATGAAATAAGGACTGATAGATCTAGGATGAACAATTTGGAACGGCGAGAAAAATCCAGACGATTGGTGGTAGGTCGGCAAGCAAGGATTGACACCTCTAGGACACCTGAAGCTTCTAAACGTGACTTGGAGCGACGTGTTGGGGATCTATCCGCTGATCGACGATCTGATCGCAGGGTAACTGTGGAATCCAGGGCTCTTGACCGTCAAAATCGCGATGAAGTTAGGACTGATAGATCCAGGATGAACAATTTGGAACGCCGAGAATCCAGAAGATCAGTGGTAGCTCGCCAAGCAAGGATTGATACCTCTAGGACACCTGAAGCTTCTAAACGCCATTTGGAACGACGTGTTAGGGACCTGTCCAACGACCGACGATCTGAACGTAGAGAAATTGTTGCTTCCCCAACCCTTCGTCAAGACATTAGAATTGACCGATCTAGGACAAACAGTTTGGAACGCCGAGAAGAATCCAGACGATTGACAGTAGCCCGCCAATCAAGGATTGACACCTCTAGGACACCTGAAAATTCGAGACGCGACTTGGAACGACGTGTTAGGGACCTATCCAACGACCGACGATCTGAACGTAGAGAAATTGTTGCTTCACCAACCCTTCGTCAAGACATTAGGACTGACCGATCTAGGACAAACAGTTTGGAACGCCGAGAAGAACCTAGACGATTGATGCTAGCACGACAAGCAAGGATTGATACCTCTAGGACACCTGAAGCTTCTAAACGCCACTTGGAACGACGTGTTAGGGACCTATCCAACGACCGACGATCTGAACGCAGAGAAATTCTTGCTTCTAGGGCCCTTCGCCAAGATATTAAAACTGACCGATCTAGAATCAACAGTTTGGAACGCCGAGAAGAACCCAGACGATTGACAATAGCCCGCCAAGCAAGAATTGATTCTTCGAGGACACCTGAAGCTTCTAGACGCGACTCAGAGCGACGTGTTAGGGATCTATCCAGTGACAGACGATCTGAACGCAGGGAAATTCTTGCTTCCAGGGGTCTTCGCCAAGAGATTAGGACTGACCGATCTAGAATCAATAATTTGGAACGCCGAGAAGAACCCAGACGACTGGTTTTAACTCGCCAAGCAAGGATTGATATCTCTAGGACACCTGAAAATTCGAGACGCGACTTGGAACGACGTGTTAGGGACCTATCGGCTGATCGACGATCTGAACGCAGGGAAATTCTTGCTTCCAGGGCCCTTCGCCAAGATATTAGGACTGACCGATCTAGAATCAACAATTTGGAACGCCGAGAAGAACCCAGACGATTGACAGTAGCCCGCCAAGCAAGGATTGACACCTCTAGGACACCTGAAAAATCGAGACACGACTTGGAACGACGTGTTAGGGACCTATCGACTGATCGACGATCTGAACGCAGGGAAATTCTTGCTTCTAGGGCCCTTCGCCAAGACATTAGGACTGACCGATCTAGAATCAACAATTTGGAACGCCGAGAAGAACCCAGACGATTGACAGTAGCCCGCCAAGCAAGGATTGACATCTCTAGGACACCTGAAAATTCGAGATACGACTTGGAACGACGTGTTAGGGACCTATCGGCTGATCGACGATCCGAACGCCGTGAAGTGATCGATTCCAGGAGATCTTCTGAAAGGAAATCAAATGACAATAACTTAAACCGCAGGGAAATCAAAACTGGCAGAAGATTGGAACGTCGATCACTTGCGAACTCAAGAACATTCTCCAGATCTCTTAACTCCCTTGATCGCCGAGAAGCTAATACCGATCGTCGTTTGCAAGAACGTTCTACACTTAACATAGAGCGACGAGAAAGATCGAATCCACTGAACTTAGCCCGCGAATCACGTGTTCCTTCCACCAGGTTGTCTGAAGCTTCTGAACGCAACTCTGATCGACGTATTAGGTATCTCTCCAGCGATCGTAAATCTGAACGTCGAGCAACTGTAGATTTTAGAAGAGTTTCTAGATCTTTGGAGTCTGCAAATCGCGAGGAAATCAGAAACGACCGCCGTCTCTCAGAAATATCCGAGCGAAACTTAGACTCTAGACGACACCTGCAACGAAGAATCAATGTTGATCGATCGCAGCGCACTAACGATCTTTCCAACGACATTCAACGGAGACAAAGACTGATATCTTCTAGAAAATCCTTGAACGATATCACACGATCTCGCCTGTTAGATCTGAACATCCACGAATCAAGGAAACACTTGATGGACTCTCTTCGGCAACTTCTTAAATCCTCCCATGACCTTAGAACCTCTGACAGACTGTCAGACCGTTTCGATGGCACTTCCTCTAGGTTAAAAATGTCAAATGGTCTAAGCGTCCTGAAAGGATATTTCATGAACAACGACACGACACTCGAAATTCTACGCCAGGCAATTGTAATCGGTCTTTGTGCTATCTACGGACTATCCATCTTCCATGGAAAACAATCCCTTATTAGGTAAGCAATTGCACGCAAAACTGATGATAGTGTAATCACTGTTTAATAATTTCTCGAGTATCGACTTGTAAGTTCTTACATTAACATTATGCGATGTGTGTTACAGCAATATCGGGAGACCAATCCCACGCTTCATTCTATGGTAAACGAGTCCACTCTTCATGGGGAAACAACGATCCGTTACTTCCAGCATCCGCTTCTAGTCGTTGTTCTAGTGTAATAATAGTTCCAAGTGTTGTACTTGCAGTTGTCTTGAATCTGTATATTAATGTACAGCTACTGTATTCGACGTAGACAGAAATGTATCGCCTGTACCTAGAAAAATATATTTTGCCTCAATAAATTGTTCAGATCAAAATGACATACACTGTTACTTTTTATACTTGAACCAGCCTACATAGACTTAACTTTGAGTTTCTCGGAGATGCTCGCTTGAAATGTTTCATGTTTAGCCATGAGATAAAATCAAATGTTTAAGAAGAAAATACTGAAACGTTGCACTAACAGTCGGATGAGTCTAGAATAACTAAGTTAGACAGTGGAATGGTAAAGAGAAGAAAAAAGTAATTTATTAAAGTTTCAATCTCAGTGGGTTTGTACATCGTGGCGATTCAGCTTAAAAATAATTATAAAAGAACGAGTGGTGGGTGATTTTGACATACACATCCAGTCTTGAAGTAAACTGTTATTCTCTTGCGAGCAGTCGTGAGTACAATGATCTGATAAAAGAACAAGTGAAACAATCGGAAAACAATTGACTGTCTTTTATAAATAACAATCACATTTTTTTTAACGAGAGAACATTCAAATGACAATACACACAAGACACGCCGATTTGTGCGATATGCGCTGTGCTCCGTGGGGTGCGAATACAGTTTAATAACGAATACCCTTAACGTGTACTAAATAGATATACAACTGGACGACTCGGGTGTACAAATGACTTCGTTGATGGCGAATAGAATGAATGTTGTACGCGACGTGTCCTGAATTCGATGATCTCGTGGCAGCGAATTGGGGACACCCCGTGTAAATAGAAAATAAATACGATGATTGTTGAAACAATCGAAGATGACGCTTATATACAGCGTGATCTACTAAAAAAGCCTCATGTAAAAAACTAACGTTCTACGCGGCTCTGGAAGATATCTCGTTTTGATCCTGCTTCCAACTATACTCGTATATGGCAAATACGCTCCGCCGAAATAGTCTTAACGATAATCATCGGACTAAAGCTATTGTTCCGATTCGGAAGCAGTCCTGTTCAACACGCCTCTGTAGTCTTACTAGTCATTAGATAAATAAAAAGTCTGTTTTCAGTAAATATAGATCAAAATATTTTCTATGTCAATTTGATATATGAATATCCATAGTTTTGTTCGTTTTCTTTTCTCTTTTTCTCTTTTTTTCGTTTTTATTATACTTCCAAATATGGACGTAGTCCAGGCGTTCTGCACGCACACAATGGCAAGAAGGAATGTCGACGAGAAGTTACGATAAAAAAAGCAGTAACATCGTCATTTGTTCGTTTCCTTCGTATTCTTTCTGTTTGTTTAAATATCTTTGGCAGTGATCCCAGTCGATCGTTACGCGCGAGTTTTCCCAGGATCGATATGATTTCACTGGTCTGCTATTCCATACGCTAATAACAACTAAAGATATTGCGAGAATGATCTTGAACAGTTAAATAGTCGCCACCTTAAAAGGGCCGGTAAAAAAAAGAACACCGACCCGACTTTTTTTTGGCTGCGCACCCTATTCACTTTTTCCACCACAGACGAGGCATACGATGAACTTCATACGGGAACTAGAATTCTCCTTTACACCTGACAAGATTGCACTACCATTAATAGCATCGTAATCTTATTTCTAATCCGAGTTAATGACGGCAATGAAGTTTTCAGAGATCCTCGTATACATACACTGGACATTGAAGATACCCTATACCTCGTTTGTGTTTATATAAAGTACCTAACAATAGAACTATAACGTCTTCTAGCAAAACCTTCGGTTCCACACTGTAACAATACAAATTATCACAATGCCCAATAATGAATCGAGAAAAATTGTTTCCTTTGAGGAGTTCTATGTACATTTTTCTCGATATTACGTGAGCACCAGGTTTCACCCTAATCTACCAGAGGGTCACGGAGTCAATGGACGTCGGTGATCTCTTGGAGCATTCCAAGAATGTGATCCAGTTCTTGCCTGAAGTAGCATAACTGTCGATTTTTCCCTTTCTCGTTCTTGCAGTCCTTGCACTGCGTTCGATTCCGAAGCAAATCGCGCACTAAACTCTGCAAAGTCATTTCCCTGCTCTCGTGTCGTTGCTGAAGTATGGTTATCTTATCCTGCAGTAATTGTAGCTGTTCTGTTCCCTAAAATACAAACAGATTAATAAATAAAAATAATACTTCATGATAAACAGTTTGTGAAACTTTTAAACCCCTTACCGGTGTTGATAAGTAGTTGACTTTTTCATTTAATGTCTTCACTTTGTTCTCCAAGTGTTCTCGTTCAGCCTTCAGGACAACCACTTGCTCTTTGTAGTCCCGCAGCTTCTCAATTTGTTGCTTTAAATGAGAAATCACAGCCACTTGCGTATTTATCTGACTCTGTTAAAAAATACAAACGACTACCATCATTAACTGTTCATTGAGAGAGTGTACTACGTGCAAGCATTTAGGAATGAATAAAAATGTACAAATGAAAGATAACAAGTTAATACTGCACGTAATACTACAGACCTGTAACTTTACCACTTTAGAATCTCCAACTTTGACACTGTACTCTTTCAGTAAGGTAGCCATCTCGCGTTCGTGCTCTTCTTGTAAGAGATTCAAGTCGTGCAGTCGTTTATTTTTCAGAGCCATAAAGTCTTTGTTCATTTTGCTTAGTTCTTCCTTTAAGATATCGTTCTCGTCGGTGAGCCTCTTCACTAGATTATTGTCTCCATTCTCAGTGTATTGCAGAGGATCGTAAAACTTTTGTATAGATGAAGTCAATCTTTGACTGTTCGTTTCATTTGTGTGTCCGTTTTGGTAGACATTTGAATTTTGGTCATTTCCCTCTGTAGATCGCAGGCTCAACAACTTTGAATCAGAAGACACCATAGCACGATTCATTTTCTCAAAGTCAATAGCCTTGATAGCTCTCCTGTCATTCAACAGTTTCTCCCTCTCCTTCTGTAACCTCTTATTCGTTTTCTGTAACTCCTGAAACTCTTTGGTGACTTTAGACATCGTTTTATCCTTGTTTGATAGTTCCAGCTTCAATCCCCTTATAGTGGCCAAGAGATGAGCATCTTCCTTAGGATTCTGAGATTTCAAATTTACTTTAGCCTGTGGCTTTTGCTCCTTTTTGTCTTCCTTCTCGAAAGACCCAGCCCTCTCTTCTCTCCTAATGGTTTCTACACTTTTATTTTCGACAAGTTTTGACACTGTCTGAGTAAACATATCGTTGTATACTTTACGTTCCTTGATATTAGCATCCAACAGTTTTTCCTCCAGCTCCATTATCTGTGTGGTGTATTTCTCTTTCATGTCAGAGAACTTCTTCTGGAATTCTATCAATTTCTGTTGCGCTAAGTCATCCTTCACCTTGATTTCCTTTTCTAAACTTGCTATTCTATCCTCCAACAACTTCAACTTTTCAGCTCCGACCTTGTCTTGTTCCGAATTAGCAGTCAGTATAAGAGCGGAAACTGAATCAGGATTCTTTCTTTTAAGTATTCGTTCCATTTCGCGCACTTGCCTGTTCAAGTCTGTGATTTTCTTACTATCCAAGATCACCTGATCTTTCAACTTCTGTGACAACTGCTTCTCACGTTCTACGTGACTCTTGGATACATGTAACTTCTCTTGTAAAAGACCTTCCTTTACTCTCAGTTCCAGCAACTCTTTCTCCAGTGGCAATACATTTTGTTGGAGCTTCTCAAACTCTAATTTTACTATCCGTAATTGTTCTGTCTTAGAACTTAATTTCACCGACAAGTCCTCTACTTGTTTCTTCAATTCGAGCTCCGCTGTCGTCATAGCTTGTAGTCTATCAGTGATAAAATCGTTCTTCGTCTTCAACTGCTCTTTAAACATCTCCAACTCATCGTTCAACAAACTATTCTGCTGACTCAAGTCTTCGTTCTTTAATGCATAATCCGCATTTTTCTCCCGAATCTCAGAAACTTCTAGATTCAATTTTAGAGCCTCTTCTTCGAGGTCTTTAACCTTGTCCTCAAGCTCTTGTCTCTTACTTGATTCAAATGCTGTACTCTTCTGCTTTTGCAGGTGCTTGATTTCTTCTTGAAATCGTTTTAAATCTTGTATCAACTTCTTATTCTCAGTCTCATATCCGCGAATTAATTTTTCCTGTTTCTCTAATTCTTTCTCCAAAAACATAATCTTCGTGTCTTTCTTAAGCTGAGGTTCCGGACGTTTTTCGTTCAACGAAAGTTCATCTACTTTTGCTTTTAGGACTATGTTCTGCTTCTTCAAGGCAAACAGTTCCTCTTCAAAAGATATACGCATGTTGTCCATTTGGCTTTTGTACATTTTTGCTTCAGACTCTAGCTGTTGTTTTAGGAGATTATTTTTATGTTTCTCTTCGCGAAACAACATTTCCCAATTTTGTTTCGTTGTATTCAGCTTGTTGTCACCGCCAGCCATTGTAACCTTTGAATAAGTGTCCGGTGATCTAGCGGAGTACCCCTTATACATGGAAGACAAAGAAAGAGTTGAACCAGTCTTAACAGGGTCCTTGTTTGGCTTTGGAGAAACCTTGGGCTTTGGGGTGACTTTTGTAATTCGTTTCACTGTAGGTTGCAATTTTGGCTTTAATGTTGGTGATCTTCTGATCGCGGTATTGGTTACAGCAGATTTCTTCGGGGGATCTATAGATTTAGCTGTCTTTAAATTTTCAACAGAAGTTCTAAACGGTGGCTTACAAATCTGATCATAACTTTTAGATTTAGAGAACCTGATTTCCTTTTTCTGTGACTTAACACTTGACGCACTAGCTGGCTGATTAGTTTTACGTTCTATATTGCTACGTTGACTTGTCGTTGCGTTTACATTAGTTTTAACTTCGGGCCTTAATATAGTCTTAGGAACGTCCGGTTTCGCATCTTCCGAAACTTCATTCTGTTTCTTTGCGCTCTCGATTGTCTTCTCAGCCAATAATTTAGGGATCGCATCTGCAAACAGTTCCAATCTTGGCGTCAGACCAACAATGAACAGTTCTTCTTTCTTGGTATCTGCTGTTGTTGCAAGTTGCTTCGGAGATGGCTGATCCTTTTTGACAGATACTTTCATCTCACTTTTACCGCTACTACTATTGCTTTGCAATGATTTATGTTCATCTGCCCCTACACTAGAGTCTGTTTCTGTAATTTCATGTTCAAATTTCGAATCTCTAATTTGAGGTAATTCTTTCTGTAATATATCAGAAATTTCCTTCTCAGGAAAATCAGGACTCTTATCATTTTCGGAATTCTGTTCAGCAACAGTTGGTTTTTCAGCAGCAGTTTGTAAACGAAAAGAATCTGTGAGATTGTTTGATTCTTGTTCCTTTTTATCGGCCTGACCTTGCAAAAGCTTTAAAAAATGTGAGAAGTCTTCTTGCCCAAAGCTTGAACTGCCTGACATCCCTCCTTCAGCTCTCTCTTTAGATTTCTTTAATAAATCTTCAAAGAAGTCTTTATCTACATCGATAATCTCCTTCTGTAGATTATCCTTGTCTGATTCCATTTTCCTTATGCTCTTTAGTTCCTCTGACTTAGAATGCCTTTCAATTGGATCATCCAAATCAGAACTACTTGATACTTCTACCTTCTGTTCTTCAAATTTTCTTCTCTGAAGCTCCAATGTTTTTGGTGCTCTTAAACTGTTCACATTTTCATATATGACTTCGAACCCAGGACTGTGTTCCCTTTTCTTCTCGCTTTTCGGACTTTTTTTAATTTTCTCTGTTTCTTTATGCACCTCCTCTTCTATCATTTGAAAGATATCAGCTTCCAATTGCCTAACTCTGTTAAGACCCTCTGCATCTTCAGGAATATTTTCAGGTACTAAAGTATCAGTTTTTGATCCGCTCTTGGATAAACTACTACTATTTTTCCTTACAAGTTTTTCAGCTTCTTCGAGCAACTCTTCTACAGATTTCTCTTCCTCTGTGGGATTCTTGGAAGAGTTCCTAGATTTCGTATGATCTGGAGCAGAATTTGGACTGAGAGCTCCAGCTATCTTACTCATTTCCTCTAGGATACTACCTATATCTTCATCGGTCGCATCTGCACAAAAAAACGTTGTTTATTCTAATGTTTTTGTTTATTAGAGACTATACGAAACACTGGGAGCAGCTAAAAAAATCAGATTAATATGTCTAATCTTTTCAATTCACATCAATGTACATATGTTAGACTTACTCTCAAAATCAGATGGATATTTGTCAAAAGCTGCGGAAGCTAAAATATCACACAAGGTGTCATCTTTATCCTTTGCTTCTATTTCATATCTATGTATGGCCTATATAAAACATAATAATATGCGACAAAATACATTAAAGTAATGTATTATATATAATGGTTATTACATCACTTGTAAATAATATTTTAAATTACTTTGCACATTTTTTCCTTCTCCAGAAATTCTTTCATTGAAGAACTAATATCCGGCGAAGGGGATGGAGTCTGTTTCACTTTTACTTCTATCTGAATAGCATTGGAGACCTCGAATCTATTATCTGGTTTTTTCAGCCACCATTTCTCTTTCTCACTTTTCTCGCTTGGTGCTGCATCTTTATTCACCTTGGGTTTTTCTTTTATTCTAATTGAATTTTCACCTACACTAAGACTTATGGAAGAGCCCAAGGTATCATCTTCAGTTGATATTAGCTACACAAAAATTATATTAATTGCGCACGAAATTGAATACTATAAGAAAATAGAAACCGTAGTTATCATTACCGTTTTCTAATAGAAAACAATTCTTTCAAAAATCGTAATATAAAAGAAAACCGATACAAGAAAACAACGGCGTCAGATGTGCTTTGCAAATGCGAACAGGTTAAAGTAAAAGTTGTATAACAATCGATGTTACTTACATCCTCGAATCGAGGGGACTTTTTCGAATTAGAAGACATTCGGATTTTTTACTGACACAACTTTTGGCCACTATAATTAACGTAATCAATCATCTTTTCAAAATCGTTTGACATTTGCCGTACTTTTTGTTTGTTTGTCAGTTTTAATTCGCTCGATGGTCGCTTCCCAGCGACCTCACCTGTCCAGTAACGTACCCCAATATTTAACACCCTTGCACAAAATAAATAAATTACGAAACAACAATGTGCAATGAGGTTGTTAACGAATTACAAATAAATTCATCTATCAATTTAGTGTTAATAAAAATAAAACAGTTCCAATTTTTCTGGACACATAAAATAAAGAAATATTTTTTTCATTGATTTAAGTACCAGACGTTTTCGTTAATGGAAAATATTACTTTTTATTTTGTAATTGTAGTTTATTTATATCCTTTTATTTGAGAAATTAATAATTAATCTTAAAGAACATTTTTTTTTAAATTTATAATAGGTGCACAAGAAAAATCGAGTGCGTTTAGCAAGCGATAACAATATCTTATAGAATTTAAGTTTCATAACAATTCAGATTAGAATGCACAGAACACCAATAATAACCATTTTGCACAAACCCGCTTACATATCATAAATATCGTAGATACACTTTCTTTAGAAGGAAAAAATAAATCATTCGAGGTAAAAGCAATTAATTCTATTTTCGTGGAAGGGTGGTGTGCAGAATGACTGTAAACTATACACGCGGAACACCTGCATATCACAATATTTGTATATGAATCTATATTTTTTTTTACATTTCATAAAATATAAATATATATTTATACATGCTTATATTAATATATATTTATATTTGTGTATATAATAATAATATGAATATATCTATTAAACTCTGAAGGCGTTTCGTGAATCTTTATTTTGTAGTCACGGATATTTACATAAAACCCATGAATTCGCTATACATATTCAAAGTAAACATTTCTTTTTTATCCATGCTAATAAGATCAAAACTGTAAATATTCTCAGGGGATGAAGTCATTGATTTAACTTCCGCAATTGATCATAGTAGACAATAATTTCTCGAATACCGCAAACTTATGGGTCATATGCAGAGTTTCTGAGTGACTGTACATAAACTCCTTAAACGTATACATCTGAAACATCCGCCGTAACATTTTATATGAATATCTGACAATCTCTCGTATGTGTACATCTTTGTTCATAAAAATAACAAAATACTACATCATTAATGTTTTCTACGGTTCGTTATCAAAATACATCCTAAAGGTACATAATTTTCGCTGGTCTATGGTTTTTTCGCACGACAACAGTGATGTGGAGTACTTTCCATCGGGGTCCCATGTTTCGATACATCCCTATTACCTCGAGTAACGTCATGCCAATAGATCAAAAGCAACGCGAACCTTATCATCTCATCAAAATATTCTTATAATCTGCACGAGTAAAAATATATCTCTATTTGATCACATCGGTCGCGGTTCAAGGATAGCATACGTGTAGCTTAAACAATTCTTTGTTAAGGAATTTCGTATTGCACACCTCGCAGTAGTGTTTAATAGTATTTAGAGTAGCAGGCAACATGTTCTCCGATGACGAGTTCAGTTTATTCACGATATTCCGGACTTTGCCCGCGTGAACCTCTTCCATTCGTGGTCTTTGGTTTCTAATCAAGGATCTCGAATACTTCCTTTTCGATTCTGTGTAATCAATCGTCCCCTTCCTGGGCCTGAGGACGCGACCCCCGAAATCCTCGAACTTCTCCACTTTGATCTCATCTATCTCCAGCTTCGGTTGCGTATGCAACGTTACTCCGTTCAATTCCGCAACCTTCAACTGCGACAACGTTGATTTCTTTCTAGCCCCTACATAGTTCACGAAAGTCTTTCTAGGTCTTAGATTACGTACAATCGCGTTCTTTGTCTTGTCTTTCTTAACAACGCCCGCGCTCTTAATATTCTCTGTTAGGCTCGAATGATTAGGATGCGCTTTCTGTAACCTACAGTTCCCATCCACCTGCGTCAACACGGTTGACCGCTCTCTGTACTTCTCATCGGTTAGGGGATTCCTTCTCGGCGACTGGGAGACATTAACGTGCTCGTTGATTTCCGGTTCCACGTTGCTCAGCCGGTTGCAACGAGGCACCGCGGTGGTGGTCTGATAGCTCGTCGGTATAGTCCGGTTACTTTGGTCCATTTTATCACAGCAACACCTACATCTGTACGCGGCGTACGAGATGTCCTCTGGCTCGAAGGCCATCGGGCTCATGGAGTTTATGTAGCTCATGTTGCCCACCATGGGGGCCATGTCGTACGCGTCGTAGTCCGGCGGCTCGATCTTGGTCTTGATGTTCTCGATGTGCACCATCGGTATGCCGACCCGCTTCAAAGGATCATTCTTCCCCATCCACGACAGCTGGCTCTTCAGGTCCGTGTCCGTTTTCAGGCAGTCCACGTAGAACTTGTGGAACTCCTCCAGCTTGTAGCTGCATCGATGGCACATGTGTTTCGGCAGTAGATCCATCTCGTGCACCTATGGATGATACGTGATCGATAGAATATTTCATCCACATGGTCTCCACAGGATCGATGAAATATGGATACTTGAATTTTTTACTTCGAGTCTAGTCCGAAGAATATTTTTCGACGATAAAATATCACGGGGAAACGTTACACGAGAAATCGTGACCGTTTGTGAAAGTCTATTTATTTTCAGGTTTAATTCAAATATTCCGAGTATCCTCCCAGCAACATTGCTTGGAACATTGACTGCGATAAATGAGAGATTTCTATTGAGAGATCTTCATTTTAAAGCAGACCGTTTGCTACTTACTGTTTCAGATATTTTATCCGGCAAGGATCATGATCGGGAGACGCTGATGACAAGGGGTGGGGATGCTGAGCGTGTCGCGACGGTGCGTGAAAGGTTGGGGGGAGGATGTGATTTTTTCACCGTGAAATCACGGGGACGTGAGATGTGTTGTTAGAAATTGAATGTTACACGAGATACTTTCGAAATTGCAAGACAATCAATTCGAATGAAAAAAATACGATAACGTTGTTGAATATTAAGTTCCTAAAACCTGTCTCGTACACGTGGTTTAAATAAGTAGAATCGTCGTGCGATTAACAGACACGTCAGCCGAGTCCTATCCAACGTCACGCATACATAACGAGTACAATTGTATTAGACTTAAAAGTCGAGCGAGTGAATGTCTTCTTCCATTAATTAACTGCAGCATTAAATTATCCGATTGAAAAAGCTAAATAACATTTACAAAAAAGATCAGCCATTCGATTCTGATTTTAATAGAGGACAAGTGACTACGTCATTCCAGTAAGAACATTTCGTTTCCAAGGTCAAGATATCGAATAATCTAAGCAGCGTTACTATGTACAACGTAGCTTCTGCGAATTAGATAATATAATCAGTATTAGATTCAGTGTAATGACTGATAATAATGATTAGAGAGTATTCGAGTCTTTGATACATAGATACCGATGACTTTTTTATTTTACAGGAAACAATGACGTCGATGATTCTAGAACAACAGTTAACAAAAGGAAATCAGAGTGTCGGTATAAATAATGTAAATAGCTTCCAAGTGGTTCCGTATGGCTTCAAGGTGACCATCAACCCTCTTTAACTCGGAACATTCTATCGGAAACAAGATCCAAGCTGTTGATATCGATACCGTCCCGCGCTTTCAGCCCGATCCTTTAATCAACGTATCCTTCCGCCGGCAAGTGGAAAATTCAACGTTTCCAACGCAACGAGCGAACGAAAAGCTACGATTACGCTTTTAAAGTTACGCAATACGTGGGACTCGCTAATGAGGCATATTGGCGCGTAAAGTAATGATAACCTCACTTTTGACAAACGTAAATACCACTTGTCGCAACGGGTTCAGCCCGTAACAGAGGAGCATCTGTAAAACCGTGTACCGAGAGCATGTGGAGGAATAGAGGCGTTCGAATACGGTCGTTTCGAAAAATAAATTACTCGATTCCTGGCGAGAAAGGTGGTTGAGGAGGGGGCGTACGCGCACGGCCGTCGGGAGATGACACGTTGGGCACGCGGAAAAAACGGCCCGTGGCCAAAACGGAGAGGAAGAGTTTTGAAGATTTATGACGTACCATGATCGGTAGAACGGCGTTGATTTTCCTCACGTGGTTCTCATTCTTGTCGAATATATTAATAGAGATACCGGATTGCTTGCCGCAGAGGCGGCACACGCGACTCGATTCGAGAGTCTCCATAACGGTATAGGGAGAGTATATAAGTTAGTCGCGCGGCGAGAGTCGCGTGGCGAAAGATTTCCTGCCCCCTTCGATTTGCCGCGGGTGCTAGTGGCAGCCTGTGACGCGCGAGCCCGCGGGAAAATGCTCAAAAAGCTCGGCAGCTATCCTCAGCGCCAGGCGGGCAGCCGTAGAGGAATTCTCTGCGTCACGTCTCTCACTGTGCCGTCTTTGGGCTCGCGCAAACGCGGGGCAAAGCGTGCGTCGGGCCGAGCCGTTCGCGATTGTACCACGGCCGGTACACTTGATCCTACCGGCGGAACGAAAAATTCACCCGACTTTTCCCCGACGCGAAGTCAGTCCCACGGATACCGCCGCGCTCTAGGAATCTTCGTCGGTCCGCTTATCGCGCTCCCGTCCGTTCGGAAGCGGAAGATCGATTTCAGGCGACCCTACCACCGCGATCAACAACGATCGGACCAATTCTCGAGCTCACCTTATTCGTCGATGAATCGTAGCAGGGTGACATCTGTACGGTTCCACGGGAAACGTCACCGTCCATGACCTGACGGTTAAGTGGTGACCTGAACAATTGCGTTCTAACCTCGAAGGGTGACAGAAGCTTGTTTCGTGGTAGGATTTATTTGGGAATAAATATTTCGCGATGGAGAATGGGACGAGTTCCGGCGAGAAATCGTTCGCCGAGAAGCATGCGGAGAGGATGAAGCGATTGAGGGATCTACATGCGAAGAGGGTATGAGAATGTTGGTTTGTTAGTAAATAGGAGGCTAGGAAATGATTTGTTTTTTATGGCTTTTGGATGTGGAAACGGTTTTTAGGGGGAATGTTTCTTATAGGGTGTTATTTTTTGTAGAATGAAGCTAGACAACAGAATCATAAAGAGGTTGTTGAAGAGGATAAGAGAAACAAGCTGCCTTCTAATTGGGAATCCCGCAAGCGACAAGCAGAATGGATTGTGCAAGATGAAGCTGCGAGGAAGGAGGCACAAGAGAAGGTATATAATAATATATATTGTTAAGAAAATATATGTATTTATACTGTGTGTATTTTGTAGGGAGAGGACTATGAAAGAACGAAATTATTGCACATTGATGCAACAGAGGCAGAGCGGATAGCAAGGAAGAAGAGGAACAAAAAGAATCCGGATCCAGGCTTTTCAGATTATGAGCAAGCAGCTATACGTCAATATAATAGGCTAGTGAAGAATATCAAACCAAATATGGAGTCATACGATGAAGCCAAGGACAAGTTAGGAACAGCTTTCTATGGGGATAGAAACACTATATTGCATGGTCTTCATGAGGATAAGAAGGAGGCTGTAGATAAGATGGTGGAAGACTTGGAAAAACAGTTAGTATTGCAATACTATGTAGTTCGATGTAATGTAGCACACATATAATAATATGTATTATTTTGTCGCAGAATTGCAAAGAGGGATAAGTATAGCAGAAGGAGAATGCACAACGATGATGCGGACATTGATTATATTAATGAACGCAATGCCAAGTTCAACCAGAAACTGGAGAGGTTCTATGGAGAATATACTCGAGAGACTAAGCTGAATTTGGAAAGGGGTACAGCCATATAATAGGAGAACTTCACACTAATGGACTTACTACAAATACCTTGTATTTTAAATAATATTTCAAAACTCATACAAATAGGAGTTAGACTACTGTTAAGTCGTTTACCGTTTAATAACGGAAAGTGCAGATGCGTTCTCCCAATCTTAATCCCGTATTATGTATCAAGAAAGTTAAATTATGTATATACATATACATATATATGTATAGATGTATATATGTATATATATGTACATATATCAAATGATATATTAATTTCACATGATGTACGTTGTCGTAAATAAAAAGAAAAAAGAAACAAGAACTGAATTAAGTTATTAAAACTTCTGTGCCCTCCACTGGCAATCTGTTGATTTCCTACAACAATTTTTTTTTATTTAATTTAAATAATTTTATATACAGTTTCTCAAATTTCTAATGCAGTTCACATCATACCACCCAACTATGTACTGTTCCTGGAAAATAAATAAACAATTACTTTACTATGCATACTACCGCATGCTATATTTTCCTTAAAACTACTACATTGTGGAATATACTCCAAAGTATACTCACGACTCGGTGAAAAGTTGTGATGATGTGTGACTCGTATATGAATATCTTGTGTTTCGCCTGTAAATCGAACATTGGAATTCTATTACACTGCTTCTATCGTTAACAACACTACTGTACATCTCTTTGCATTCTCACAATCTTATACTTACCGTTATTCGCAATAAAAAGCAACAGCACACGGTAACAGGTTACTACTATGCATTCACTACACATAACACACAAAACATGCGTTTCCATTTAGCTCAAATTTACAACACGTTACTTTCCCACCCTCTCAGTGCCAAATGGAATATTTCATATTCTTTGAAAGGCACGCAAAAGGATATTAAGATTAATTAAAAAAAACAACACTTGTCCAAGCGTTACGTTTAAGTACAAGTTAAATCCTGTTTTATTAATGTCGCATGTATTTCTCGCGACGCTCAATACATTTGTTTCCGAAAGAGCCTTATAGTATTCAATTATCACCTTTGGTTATGCACTTCATCACAGTACGGAGTAAAAGTCAGTCAATCTTCCAAAACAAAGAAAAAAGTAGGAACAGTTCAAAGAAAGTCACATGCTGTTAAGGCACACGTTTGTTACTCCGGCGGTGTCGGAGGTTTCTGATTGACGTCCAAGCGCGTTAACGAGCTGGCGAGTTCCTCGCCCGGTTTCCTGGAAGCCGTACCTGCGTTTCCATGATCCGGCAGCCTCGGCATGTCGCACTGTTCGCATTTGTTCATCAACGGATGATTATCGAACGTGCACATTCTGCAGACCCAAGAGGGACCATCCCGTTCTTCTCTGTCAACGTTATTTCCGGTGACATCCGGTTGCCAAGCGGGCGGTTGACTAGGCAATGGCGGAGGATTGAAACTGGTCGAGCTCGGTGGTAACGGCTGACCAGTATAAATATCTTGATAGAATTCTTCATTCGTTTCACCCAAAGGCACTAGAAATTAACGCAGTGACAACAATCTTTCCTCGACTACTATAGACGACAGCTGTGCTTAACGTTACTCGACTCGCCATCAGAAACCTTCCACGCAAGACACTCAATGTCTTAATATGTTAATTTAGGAGTTAGAATGTGAAGCTACCTCTTGGATCTGACCACTGATCCACTTCATCCGCCAATCTGTCGCATTCCACCTGCAGCTGATAGATTTCGCTCCTTAATTTCCTCTTCAGCTCCTACGGAACGGACTTTCACAGTGAAACTCGTCGATGTTCTTGAGAATTTGTAAGCGTACACCATACCTGCGGCGGCATCGAGGAATCGAAGGGTCTCGAAAGAGACTGCAGCTCTTTCTTCATCGCTTCGAGTCGTCCTTTCTCGGCCCTCAACTCCCTGGCGAGCCTTTCTTTCCTGGCTAACTGTTCGGCTACCAATTTCCTTTGGTGCTCCGCCACTGTATCGTTACAGGAAGCATTCAAACATTACAAACATTTACAGACGCTAAAAGCACAGGTGTCGCGATATATACAAAACCTTTTGGATTCTTACGCTATGGAGATTCTCATCCGTTCCTCCTCAAATTTGTATCAAAATCAAATTTTAATCAAATCAGCTCGGTTACGTATTAAAGATCCAGCAACTTCCAACTGTAAACCGTAAGGAACCAGTTCATGGAAGAAAATCTCCAAGCATTCGCATTGCCTGCGCTAATACCAACGCCTACCACTTACAATTAACACTTTAGACTCGAAATCTCTCTCTGTCAACTTAACTTGACATACAAAATTATAAAATCATACATAACGTTAAACTTCATATAAACCGATACACGAAACACCTAAATAAAACATCTTCCCTTAATTTACGTAATTTCCTCATTTAACTCTCAAAGACTATAATCTACATCTCATCAGCAGACATTGAACATTCCCAGATTTCCGAGTGCAAAGGGTTAATCGGTACAATCTACAGATAAGGTTCGAATCACGGATCCGTTCAGGAAACGTGTCGTCACCCACCGAGACGACGCCGCTGGTGAGAAGGAAAAGCGGATCAGGTGGTCCGCGTAGAGTAACCGCGAGCCTGGCTATGTATAGACGGAGGCGTGGGGTCAGGAATGCGTAAATATCGTTCTCAGTGTTACGCGCGTGGGCGTAGATACGTGCGACGGACAGACTGGTCGGTTCTCGCAGGTAAATATACTACGTGTATCAACCTCCTATATAATACGAAGCGAGCCACCCGAAAAACAAAAGACTCTACGCGTCCGCACACACGCACATCGTCGTCGTGGGGGGGTGGCGACAACGACGACGACGACGACGACGGCGGCGGTGGTGGTGGTAGTGGTGGTAACGCACCGGTGTTCAGCAAAAATAGACCGACGGTTATTTTCGAATCTCGTCGCAGGGTTGTGCCCTGGGGGCGGGGAAGGGTACCTTGATTCAACGGCGATCGATTCGGATCGGAATTGGCCTGTATCCGTTCGCCAACGGGACTGGAGGGCGGCGAGGTCGTCGTCGGTCCTGACGGTGTCGTTGGAAGGCTGATGAGAGGGACAATGTTCGTCGCAGACGGTACCGAGGGTGTGGTTGGGGCGCTCATCGTTGTCGTCGGCCGCGGCAACTGGCTGGGTGGTCCTGCTGGAAGGCCTGGAAGACATGCTCCGATTAGGATACTTCCAGGCGAGACCCGTAGGTGAGATGACTATTTCATTTAGATCGTTCGATCTCTGTATTTTCAACTTTGGTACACTGAATCTCGTAGAGATTGAAGTGTTCTTGTATCTCTTTTCGTTGGGTGTTAATGGTAGGATGTAACAGGTCTTTGACACTGGAACGCAGTCGAGTTGACTTTTGAACATTTTTCTATAGAAACCCCTAGATCTGTTGAGACTACGATCACCCGAAACTTAATTCACGTATTACTAAAGCAATTTCTTTAGGGATTTCTTAGAGACTATTGTTTTTTTTCAATAATTAAAAGAAGAATTTAGGAATGATAAAAGGGACCAACTCCTAATGTCTTTTACGATTATTGTCGAGACGGGGACTTAAGAAATTAAAGAAGTTGATTTAGTGATACCTAAACTATAACTCAATTGAAATCTTGATAAATTCACGCTTTTAGTTGTAAGGAAATTTTAGAAAGACCGTTTAAGTGCTCGATAGTTCTAACATTAAAGAACTAGGCCATCGACTTACCCTAGTCTGAGGGTTGAAACATAGAGTCCAAATGTTCTTCGTTCTAACGTATCAATTGCTGTTCAATGATTCTCGTATCAATACAACTAACGATTCGTATTCAGCTTCAAGATATTTAGCTACCGTCTTCATGATAACGAGCTTTAGACGAATGTACCGTGCTAAAATGTTTGAAACTCGGCGGATAAATATCTCTACTGGAATAAATTTGTCCAGCGACGAACAGAGACGAGCAACCGTTCGAGGCCAGGGGCGGGACGTACCTGGCGGCCTCTGAGGACCGGTTTGTACCGGCGGTATCAAGCTGTTGGGCCTGCTGGGGCCCATCGGCGGCCTGATTCTGGCAGCCGCCACGCTGCCAACGGCTCCCGCGCCGATGCTGATCTGCAGGCGACTCTGGAAGCCTCGCGGGTCCAGGGACGAACTCGAGTAGGTCAAGCTCGAGCCCTGCGATCTGATGTCGATCGGCGGCTGCGGCTCCGAGGACGGCGGCCTGAGTGTCAGGCTGACGGAGGTGTAGCTTCGCGTGTGATCGATCTGCGGCCCGGCGACGTTCTCCACGCTGAGCAACGGGTCCGCGTAGTGTGCCCGTGGATCGACGATCAGATCGGTTCGTTTACAGGCGCCACCGATCGTGGGCACCGTTCGGAAGTCTAAAGATCGACGATTCGGTTTTAACATTTTCAGGAATCCCTCTGAAGATCGGTGGACGTTTGTCCAGCACGACGAATTCAGGACCAATAGATCCATCGATCTATACGGATCTCTTGAGAATGGAAGACTTTCGAGCGCGAAGGGTTGATTACATTCGCTCGGTGGATTGAGTGGCATGGAATGGTGATGCTTTTGTAAGAGATTGATGTCTGGCTCGAATTTCTTAACCGAGGCTCGCCGATACGCTTCCACCGTGTCCGATCGTTGCTCACTACTTATTTTCATGTTTACAGAAATTACAGCCAGAGGATGGTTGCAATAAGTGGCAAAAGTGGCAGATAGCCAGACGTCTGTTCGGATAATGTAATTCTCCCGGAAAACGAGCGCGATAGAGTTTATAAATATACGTGTAATGGTCCGCGATAAGGTGGGACAGTGAATGATCGGCGGGGATGAAAAGAAGTCGACGGCTAGGAGCAACACGACCGCGCGTGGTACGACTGTCCCGGAAACCGATCGATCCGCGGAAAACATCCGCGTGGCAAGATCGCGATTAAAAACGATCGGCCGTCGTCGCTGCACGTGGATGGAACCTGTTTTATTCCCGTTTCCATACCGACGCGACGTACTCGAGGAGCGACGTAATTGCTTGTTGCGCAACCGGTTCGTCGCATGTATCCAATTCATCAACTATTCTGCAACCATGTTGCAACTCGATGCCACCGGGGATTACGGAAATGGCTCGGACCCCATGCGCAGGGACCGCGCGAAATAGTCTCCTCCACGTGCTACCATTGCAGCTCGCTTTCGTTCGTTTTCGCAAGAAACGATCGCCGGTGCACTCTTGCGAGACCGTTCTTCGCGCCACATTTCCGACAATTATCGAGACCACCGATTTGCCGCTCTTATTAACATCAAATAGGTGTCTTATTTCTAGACCACAATTTTAACTACATTCTGAATCGTGTACGTTCTATTGTAGAGGAGGAAACTATCTCGACCTATGAGTTCTAAAACAATTCCAGCGTTAACGCTAGGTTCACGGATATCGATTACAATCTGTCTATTGCTGTTAGAGAAACCGACGTTTGTTCACTTACATCTCAACAGTAGTTGAAATACAACTAAATAGGATCATTGATACAATCAAAATCGACGTGAACAAGTACCAAATAGAATTCACACCAAACTGCATTCCGTAAACCTAGCGTGAATCACCTACAGATCCTTATCTCGTCCTAGCTTCATCCTAGCCTCATCGGTAGCAAAAAGACAAAAAGGTCCCTGGTCTCCGTGGAATGCGTACCGCGATTGCCAGCAGGGCTACAGGCAACGTTCACGTTCAGCTCGAACCCGGCCGGCTCGTTTCCCGCGTTGTTCTGGACGTGATTGTTGCAGTTCGCGTCGGTGGTCGTCGGTAGCGCGCCGCAATCGTCGAAGAAGCCCCTGACGGTGCAGGCAGGTGGCGCCGAGGAGGGTGTCACCGGGTTACCAGCGATCGGCGACGAGGCGGAGATCGCTGCTGCCCGTGTGCAGCTAAGGGGACAGCGCCGCGACGCTCCAATGTCCAGCGAGGCTGGTCTGTGTGGTCGCGGGTTCCCGTTGTTGCTGCTCGCGACGGTTCGTTGGGGCTGGCTCATCGCGCAGCAACGCTGCTGCGCGGCGGGGCTCGCTCGTTGTTGCTGCTGCTGTTGCTGCTGCTGTTGCTGGGTGTGCTGTTGAGGCTGCTGGAGGACGCCGCAGGCCGCGGCTGGAGGGAAAGCGCCCGGCGACGGTCGTGATTCTTGCGTGGCGCGGAGGCTTCTCGCGCATATCTCTCGATCGTGGCTGTTCTGGAACGCACAGACGCACCCGGGTCAGCCAGTTTTCCGGGATCGGTCCCCGAGGATCGGCTATTCGAGGCCATCTCGACCGGAAGCTTCAGGATTATTTTTAGGGAACGACCGGCTTCTTCTTCCGCAACGGTCCGCCGACTAGTTTCGACTCGAGGGTTGTCGCGGGAAGCGCTAACCATCTGCGGTCCAGGTGATCTCTTAACCTTTTGGCTATTGTGTACACGCTACCGCAGTGGTTTCCGTGTACTTCTATAGGCTCTGTTCTTTCTCTGTTGCCGATAGCTTATGCACTTTGTTGCTGGTTGCAATGTAATTCTATAGGTCGCCAAAAGGTTAAACGTTGGGATCGTCGGAGAGAGAGCTACGATTTAGATGCGGTTAGAAATAATCGGCGCGTTCGCCGGAATCGGACAAACCTGGACCGCAAACGGTTAGAGACTCTCGGATTCCGCGGTCTCCTAGGACGACGAGGCTTGCCAGTGATTAATATCGTGCAACCGGAAGCGCCGAATACACCTCCGCGCTTCCGTCTCGGGGGGATTAGATCAACGTTTAGCGTGTCCACCGGTGTACATCGTCGCGTCGGTGACCGCGCTACGGAAGGATTAAGAATAAATAAAAGAGCGAAACGTTTAGCTGAAAGGAGGCATACGTACACACAGGTTCCACGCTCGTGCAACGACAGGAAGCGGGAGAAGAAGAAGTTCTGACGTTAATTCTCAAACCCCGGAAGTTATGGATACGCGAGCCGTACCCGCTTGTTAGTCGTTGACGTGCTTTGGTTTCGTTTTTAGCGATGACGGATGAGCGGGGAGAGCAAATCTTTGCAGACTGGTTAGGAGCACACTCTGTGCAACCGGGACGCCGTTCCCGGAGTACTCGATCGCAACACCGCCGCAAAATGTCCTTCAACCGTGAAAATATCATTATCACTATCTCTGTTTCACAATACCGTTCAGTTATTTCTTTGCTTCGCTCTGGTCCCAGAGAAATCGGTCTACGCGCGATTTCAAATAGAATCCGTTTACCGGTCTACCTGGGACCAGGTACCATTCTTCGGGATAACGATATAGAAAAATCCAGTTCGAGGAACCGGATACATCAGTGTTCGCAAGGCAGAACGACAGATATTATTCAATGACACCAAGCTTACTTAACACTAGGTTTACAGAACGCGTCAATTTGACGCAGATTGAATTTTATAAACATTATTTGGTAAATGTTTCAATCGTTTCGTCTATTTCTACATCTACAATTTCCAAAATCTAAATGAACGAATATCAACTTCCCTAGGAACAATAGAATAAACTGTACAATAAATGCCCGTAAACCTAGTGTTAAGTATATCGAATCTTATAAATATCGTTTAAGAAACTCAACGCTCGAAGTTGCAACCTCGAGCATCAGTCTATCCGAAACCCAAGTCATTCCATCGTTCTGCCTTGCGGCTAGTATATTTCAGCGCTAGTGCTGAAACGCTTTGATCAGTTGGCATCGTCAACTGGTACCAGAAGCACCGAGGAGTCCGGGTTGTTCGTGGATCGGATCGAGCCTCCGTGAACAGCAATGGTGGACAAAGAGCACCTATACCTGGGCGATGCACTGGGAGACGACGTGATCAGGGAGCGCAGGGAACTGCTGCTTCAGCTCATGGAACAGCTGCATGATAGCGATGTTAGAGCAATGGCACTCCCCCATCGTGGGCCCCCATCCTCCTGGCAAGGCCTACCTGCGGGTGCCAGGTTCTCTCGTTACACCAGTTACATGCGACTCGCCACTGGATAGCGCTGGTCCGGCGTGGCGCGAGCTACGAGACACCACCGTTCATCGAATCCAACGGACAGAAATCGTCGCAACGCGCGCGACGCGACGCGACGCTGCAAATATTTATCGCTACCTCATGGGCACACGCGGTGCCGTTAACATCGCGATTTATATTCAATCCATTCCGCCCGGGACAATCAGCCAGACATCTTTGCGATACATAACTTTCGAGGAATTCTCGGATTCATTGCTAACGACACGGAAGCGAGAGACGCGAATGATAACGTTTGTAATTCGAATGGCGCGATAAATACTCCTCGTGTAGGGAAAGAGCTACGAGGCGACACGGGGCAAGAGGGCTCTCCTGCTGGGATAACTCTGGACCGAATGGGCCGATCTCCTGAATCTCATTTATTTCTCGTTTATACGTATCTACTTTCATAAGTATACTTCTTTTTCTTAGGTATCAATGACACTTCGGATGTAATAGTTCTCCCCAGAAAAATCAACCATCCCTAATGTACCCTATAGCTTCGATTGGATATGCATAACCATAGCGAATACCAAATACTAATTAGGCCTCTTCTCCTATGCAACGAAGAAAACAATTGCAAGACGACTCGATGGCAAGAGAAACTCTGTTCTCATTTGTCTTCATCTTTTCTCATCTCATTCTCTGATACTAATTTATTCCTCAATACAGTTACAGATAACCAATCAAAACCATAAAATCCAACTCCTCTTGCCCGTCCTAAAAGCTCAAAGTCAAAGACACAAGGGACCACTTCCATTCACGAAAGAACGGAAGCGAGATCGAATGCGTCAGATGTAACGATAGAAAAATTCAGAGTGCTTCGTTCTCTATCGTTACATCCGTTACATTCGGTCTTTTCTATCCTATGTTGTTACCACGCGTAAATAATCATGCGTGAAACACCGAGGTAGCCTGAACACCGTCAGTGGAAGTGTCTCTTGCTACCTTGACTTTTCAGCTTTCAGCCGTGTCGGCTTCTCTCACGGTTCTCCGCGTTCCGCTCGCCGCGGCGGCAGATAGTCTTGTCCTCGCAAGCGCGTGGACCGTCGGGGATTCTTGCCACACGCTCGGACTCGGCAAGAATCCGCCGCCGTCGCGGAAATTTCGCGGTTTCCCGGATAAACGATTTGGATGCCCTCCAAAGACGACGTTCCTCGGCGGGCGGTTTCGCGTGTCGCGAGCCGGGACTGTGTCAAATTATTCAGGCCCGCGGACGAACGGACGGACAGGGGGATGCGATTAATGGAGACAAAGTCGTGAGAAAATGAAAACGAGAGGACCGCGCCCGAGGGAACCCGACCGACCGGGGCAAATTGTCCGGCTTGTCGACGCGCGAGCCATTGAAACGCCGCGCGCGATCGTGGCGCGCTAGCAGTTCAGCTGCTCGACCGCCAAAACGGTTCAATGCGAATGCAGAATCGAAACGGGGAGTCGAATCTTTAACACTAGGTTTACAGAACGCGTCGAATTGACGCATATTGGATTTTAGAAATATTATTTTGTAAATGTTTACGCCGATTTCGATTGATGCGATCACACTGACATGTACCCCAATTACCTACTATCAAATCTCCAGTTTCCACAATCTAAATAAACGAGCATCAATTCTTTTAGGGATAATAGAATGACGTGTACAATAAATGCCCGTAAACCTAGTGTTAACACTTTGTGGACGAATGTCGACGTTTCGTGAAATGTTCATGCTTGGAACACTGAGCTGCGAACGAACGATTAACACTAGAACCAGATGGGTCAATATGAAATTCTTCTTTTAACCCTTAGCACTCCAGGTTGTTTTGTAATCTATCAGCAACTGCAACTAATTTTTATAGTATTCCTAGCGAAAATTAGAAATGCTATAACAATTTCTTCGATCTTTTATTTTTCCTCTCAGCACAAAATTTGGGATATGAAAAATCTAATAATTTTAGGGTAGTTTCGTTAAGATTCATTAAAGCATTTAATATTATAACTGGTGCTAAATTGGAACCTACAGAGTTCAAAGGGTTAACTCTTCTTTTATAATTATTGAGGAAACAATAGATTCTTTAACACGTTGAATGCCGCACGATTGGAGCAAAATATGCAAAATGGAAAAAATGAAATATTAATTTATTCAATTATTGTATTGTTATTATTGTACGTTAATCTAGCTGAATGTCACCGTATTAAAGAGTGTTATGTATAATACAGAAATGTTATCAAATAATCATCGTTTAATTTAGTGTACTATGGTGATTCGATTTAGTTGGGGTCACCGGTGACCCTCAAGGCAGTCAACGTGTTAAGAGATTTCTTAAGAAATTGTTTTATTAATACGCAAACTAAGTTTCGAGTGATCTCGATAGATGCACTCTTGGGGTTAGAAAAATTTTGAAAAGTCAACTTGACTGCTTGTTAGTTCTAGTATTAAATTATTTGAACAGCAGATCAGTGTAGTTTCCTTTTTTTCTATTATTTAAACATTCGATGTATAATTTAGCTTGATACGTTGCAAGTATTGTGTTCTTCAAAGTCTTCGTCCACAAAGGGTTAGATGAGAGATCTAAGATATGTTGTAGAATGTATTAATGTTTTGATATATCTAATTAGATTGATTAACGATTAATTAGTAGATTATTCATCGATAGATTACATTGATGGTGAATTAATAGATTTATTTCAGGATTAATGTATTAATACACTGTTTACTTTATTATCACAGCTTTCTTTTAAGGCTGTCCTTTCAAGGACAATTCTACTTGGATAGTTGATGTCCCGCTTGAATATGATTTTTGGTAGATTCCAATGAAATAATGATTAAAATGAATGTTTGAGGGGTTATGGTATCGTCGCCAAGGAATTTTGTAGATGACTTTATAACAACAATGGGAAAATGATGTGAAACGTGTCAGATAATCAGGTTCTATTCCTATGGAATTTCTTTAACCAAGTGTTCAATAGATTAGAACGTCTCATGCCAGACAAAATGGAACGGTAATCTCGATCGTCGCAGGTTACCATTTCCGGTCTGCTCGGTCACTCGTTTCTCCAGTTTGGAGAATTCTTTCCATGAGGAAATGCTAAAGCTTCCCCATTTTCCGCGACACGACGGGCTTTACTTAAACGAGCGACCGTTTGACCCATTTCTCAATGGAACCGAACTTGTCTTATAGGTACATACCGGTTACACACCCGGTGACCGATAAAAATACAATCCTTCGTAAATCGTTACAGCAGTCTATCATCGACCGACAAACCATCCTCTCGATCAAAAATTCAATTAATTTCACGCAAAATTCTGCAAAATGTCGTACAATATTGTAGGATCGCAGAGCGTTTTACAATAGCCGCGTAACGTTAAATAAACTCGGTGGACAAATGGTAACCGCAAAAAGAAACGTGAAAAACGAAAAGTCAAACGTCGTTGCAGTCGACGCGGAGGTCGGCGATTCCGAAACACCCGGTACGTTAGAGAATTGGCAGCGGGCAAAGAAACCGTGGACACCTGTGCCGCGTGGAACGTAGGAGTGCCACATAATTAGCCGGCACTGCGCGTACCACGCTCCCACGCGTACTTCACCCGCAGGTGCACTCGCGTGTCCGCCTCACAGAATTAAAATACGACCGGCACTGTGAAAATCTTCCGATTCCGTCGGAAAATTGGAAAATCGCCGAAAAAATTTAAAAAACGTGCGAGCGAAAACCGTCGACTCCCTTTAATTCTTGTGTTTTTTTTATCCTACTTCTGGGACCACCCGTTACGTGTACAAATCTTTATTTATTAGGACGGATACTTCGGCGGTACACCGTTCCGTTCTGAATGTGACCTTTTTCAGCCCTATAGTCGGCGAAGGACAGAAATACACTTTCATTAAGAGTATAGGCATAAAAAGAGCTGTACTTTCTATATTATTAGTTGCAATGGCTAATTCTATATTTTCTACATTATTAATTACAGTGAGTGATTCTATATTTTCCGTATTATTAATTAGAGTGACTGATTCTATATTTTCTACATTGTTAATTACAGTGACTGATTCTATATTTTCTGTATTATTAATTACAACGACTGAGTCTATATTTTCTATATTATTAATTACAACGAATGATTCGTGTGTCACACAAAAATATGAATAAATATGAGGAAAAGGACTCTTTATTAATGCCTATTTGACACTAGATTTACGGACATTTATTCTATACTCTATTCTATTGTTCCTAGAGAACTACGTGTAGCTTCAAAACCAGACTATTGCAGTGCGTATTCGCATTATTACACGAATCAAGATCGACTTAAACTATTACCGAATAACGTTTAAAAAATTCAATATCCGTCAAACTGACGGGTTCCGTAAACCTAGTGTTAAATATGGTTAATAATATAGAGAAAAGTAGACCCTTTTATATCTACGTTGAATATCATAAATCATTTTAATATTGTTTGATATCCCCGAATAATACTGTCATGGTCGAAATTCTGTCTGATCAATCGATTTACCTCGTCCATGCATCGGGACGCGAAGTCGGACCTAAGACCGAAGGAACCGGAAGTCCTCACGAGCGAACGTCTGTATGTATCCACTTGATCGAAAGAAACTAAGAGGTTAGGAACTGAACGCGTGCAATTCGCACTTGGCGCGGGGCCACGTGATAGAATAAAACGCTGGGCGGAATTAATATTTCGTTTCCCTTTCTCCGTTCGCTTCACACCTGGCAGACGTCGGTAGTGTCAGGTGAGCGGGACATCAATCAGAAAGAAAACTGTTTATTGGCACGCGCCGCCGTCTACGAGCATCGTTCCTGTATCGAATTGTTCCGCCGCGCTGGGCGTCCGGTGGTTTCCCAACGAGGGAACTCTCCGAACGAAAATATTGCTAGCCAGCGTCTGGAAAGTGTCTCGGTCGTCTTAACCCGTTGCCGTACAATGACGAGTGACACTCGTGATGAAGATTTCTAAACTAATTTAACAAGGATCAATGTTGTTCATTACCCAAGGATTAAAGCAAACAACTATTTTGCTATTATCA